TTATCCGCTGCGCCATCCGATCCGCCGACAGTGAGCATGAGGGGACCGCTGACAAAAACATCACTGTTGCGTCGGTGCATGCCAAGTGTGTTACTACATGATACTTACATTTTGACTTTATTTGAAACTATTTTCGAAGCCTAATTAACGAGCACCTCATAAACTATGCATGCTCGAAGTTACAATCAGAACGGAGCCCATTAAGATAGTTAAAATCGCCCATTCTTGTCAAATTCTTTTCACTCAGTTTTGACCTCCCCAGAAACGCATAGCAAAAATGAAACCCATTTTTGTGATCCTTGTATGGACCCCTACAACAAGCAACAAACCATTTCCAAAAAGCGCGCCACGACCTGAAAGACCTCCCTTGTAAGAGGGAATAACTGCCACAGCTCAGGGTTTTAGCCGAAAACTTTACAAGAGATACCAGTTTTTTAGGCAAAGGAGGATGGCGAGCATGGCATGGAGACAGTAGAGGAGTTACGTGTTCGTGCTCAGCAGCTAGAACCAGCTGCAGAACAAGTGAGTGTTGAAGCACTGTTATGATTCATTTGACTGTTTGTGAGAAATTTGCAATTTTCTGATTTTTGCAAAGTTATGCCAATGTCAGGTGAACGGAGACCTGTGCAATGGCAAAGTGTACTTGGCGTCGATCAAGGAAGGAGAATCGGACTTCGAAGAACCGCTAGTGATCCGACTTGTCAAAGCCAACTGTTTGTTCTTCTTCTTCTTCTTCTCCAGATAATGATGAGCTACAGCCTCCAATAGCCTCATACAAGAGAGCTGACCAAGGGAAGCGACTATGGGTTAGCTGGAGAGTTCGTTGCTGACTGAAGACCACCATTTCGAAATCATTCACCTCGATTATTTCACCCGCCTTTTCACTGTGTGTGGCGTAAACTTTGATGGTAGGCCCTATGAGCGGAGTATATTTTATTGTCGTCCTTAGCCCCATTAGTAGAAGCCCAGGCTACTCTAGTCACCAGTCTGCACTAGAAATGCTGCTTCTGGTTCTCACAGAAGTTACTTGCTGGTGTCTTTTTGTGGCAGAACCTCCACACAACTTGCCCCCAGGCGTAAGGGAAGGGTGGGGTGGAACAAAAGAGCAGTCTCATTGACCGACCGATCATCTTTTTGTGGGGTTACCCCTAAATACCGCACTATGAGCTATTGTAGACATCGAAAAGAATAGGAGAACACAAAAAACCCTCACTGGACTGGTAACGTATTCAAGTTAAGGGTTTGGCCATA